GGTAAGAACAGAAGGCAGCCCTGCGGAGGGGTTTTAGCCACTTAATAAATTGTGGAGGAACAGCTATTTCGCATAATTTTAAGAAGGAGCGGTATTAAAGCTCCTCACGCAGCCAGAAAGCTTTCCCCTGCCCCAACCCAGCAAACAGTAATGCAGCCCACAGGTACAAGGTTTTGTGTTTTTTATTTAAATCCAGTTACAGCAAAATACAGGCTGGCAGCACAGAGAGCACCATGCCACAGAGGTAACGCTCGCTCTGCACGTCCGACAGTGTTCATCTCGCTTCCCCGCGCCTCTGCCAACTGCATCCCGCGAGGCTGGCGCAACATGACGTACAGTGCAGAGCGCTGGGACTGCTGGCAGCTGAGGGGAGGCCACTAGGTAAAGAAGCTGCCCCAAACCCAAAAAGTCACCGCACATTCTACATTTACAAACAGTTACCTGAAATGAAGCTACTCCCCCCTCCCCTTAGGTAGGAATTGAAAAAGAAGGGAAACATTACATTTGTCTCCCTTTAAAGGGTGACTTCATTATTTTCAATGCTGTGATGATCTTGAGCATCCTCTGCACTCTCCAACGTTTGATTGCTGTTATCGTTGGGGATCTCGGCTGAAACACGGTCCTGGTTCTCCCTGCTTTCCACGCTCTGGTGGCTATCCCCTCTGACACCAGCCTTGCTATCATCTCTTTCCACCTCATGGCTATCAAATTTCTGCTGGCTGTTCTTTTCCATGCTCCGGTCACGCTGCTTGCTGTCCAGCTCGCTGCTGTCCTGCCCACGGCTCTTGTCGGCCCATTCCCTGCTGATGGCGTGCTTCCCTAGGGAGCGGCGGGCAGCAGGATCCTCCCGGGAGAGCCCCGCTTGCTGGCTGTCTGCATCCAGGGTGCTCTCATCCTCCTCAGTGGTATCATACACAATGAGCTGTGTTACAAAGCAAAACAAGAAAGAGCCATTGTCACTCCTGAGGAACTGATCTGTCAACAGGTGCTGCCATACTGTGCCCTACACTGCATAGACTGTGTGATACATCTCTGCCTGGAGACACTGTGGTGTTTTATGGAGTTACATGAACCTTTCAAATTACGAGAAACTCAGGTTTGATCTTAGCCTCAGATTTCATGTCTGCAAGTACATCATGATAGTGCAAATTGCAGTACTGCATAGCTTGCAGCAGCAGGCTCCTGCCTCGACGCATTGACAGCCATCAGTATCCCCTAATTTGGGGTATCCAGAGAAAGGAAATACATTCCTTCACTTATGCCTCACTTTCCCCTCACCAATCCTTTTCAAAACTGACTCCCATAAAATAACATGTCCATTTCAAGTTCACTACGCTTTTCCAAAAACCTTGGTACCACTGCTCAGTGCTATTTACCTTTTTTGCAGCTTTGCTGAGTTTGCTAGACTTCACCATTGCGGCTTTTGCCCTCACCCTGTAGGCCACGCTGTCGCCTCTGCCGGAATTGTCTCCCCGGGTGAAAGGGAATGGAGGGAAGGGTACAGTTATTGGGATGTCTGTGGGAAAACTTGTGACAACCTCATCAGATTCATCCGTGTCATTGGAATCATTATCATTGTCATCATCATCCACATCTTCATGGCTCTTGCTTGACACATCAGGAAAGCGCTGGAAAACATTTATTATGCATCAGACAAATGAACATATATGTGGGATGTGCAGACTGGTATCTGTCCTGCTCACCCAGGGCTTATGCACTGTTGAAGAGCTATGTGCATGAATTGCTCTGAATTCACCTCACCCTGCCTGAAGCTATGTTTTATTTAGGGAGACATGTTACCACAAGAACCGCATTTGATTGAGGAAAATGAGTGCTGCTACACACTGGCTGCCCTGCAGCACTAAATTTGACATTTTACAATTCAAAATACTTACCGGCTGTACTGGGACATCCACACTTTCTTCTGAAGAGTAAAGAGTCTGAAAACAACATAAAACTCACTATTAGCACGCAAAGGCACATAGAGTAGAGCTGATCAGCATGTTGACTATTCTTTAAGCACTTAATCCTGACTTGCAAAACTTGACATTGAAAGATGTTCTGCGTTCTCTTCCAGTTAGTTGCCCGTACCTGCTGAGGTGACACCAGGTCATTCTGTGGGTGCTGCAGACTCTCCCAAGACTGAGAGTTCACGTGATGGTGGTGATATCTGTGTGAGTGATGGCCCCTGGTGTCCTTCAGGAGAAAAAAAAAAAAAAGAAGAAAAGGGAGGTTTAATCCACAAAGGAGCATACAGGAGCAGGCAAAGCTGCCTGCATCACAACCTCTGGTTTCAGGCAGATGTGGCATCTGCAATACATACTCCTTTTGTATAGGATGTGTCTTCAACAATTCACTGTAGTAGGAAGAGGACTCAGAACAAGCTGTGATCCCACATGAACATTATACCCAAACAAAATAATAGAGAAGATGTGCCTCTCCCACTGGCAGAGCCTGAGGAATTTCAGATCAGTTTCTTCAGCTCATTTTTATTGAGTGAAATTTGGAGTTATACCTCATGAGTGTTGTTTCTGCTAATTCTCAGGTCCTTTTCCCAAGAGTGATTTGTCTCTCACATCATGAAGACTCTAAACTAAATGCAGTAGCTGATTCTCAGAGCAAAGAATTGATTTTACATGGGTAGCAGCTGGCGATGGAGTATAAAACAAACAGCTAGATACAAGACTAATACAGTTCACTCACACAACTCCAAAAAATCATGGGAATTGGATTAAAATGCTCTTCCAACATCAAATATTGGCATCTGATCCACACTAATGAATATGGGTTATAGTAGTTGTGTCATACTCTGTTCTCTTTTTAACTGACAGCTTACACATTTTACATGAAGAAAAAATGGTTTCCAGTGCTGGTCCAGAGATACAACTATCAAACTATACAACTAGGACGCCTAACATGACAAAAGTCTACTGAGGTCAGTGTCCCTCTGCTTTGGCTACCTGAGAAACTGGCTCATAACAGCCAGGTGAGGACACGTTCTGCAAGCAGCTACAATCATAAAACAAGTATCAGACAATGTGTATTAGAGGGGAAAAAATCCAAAAGGATTCATTAAAGAAAATGAATAGAAAGACAAAAGGAGCTTACATATTTTTCTTCAGAGCTGGCAGAAATGGCGTGCTGCTTGGATTTACTCACCTTAAAAGAAGATAAGAGAAAAGCGTTTGTCAGTATTAATTTCTTGCTAACTTGCAAAGAAAATGTGCAAGTGATTGCTGATACGCATTTGTGATTTACTCACTGGCCATGCAGCAGCGATGCTGATAAGGCAGAAACACAGAACTGCCACCTTCATTGTGATGTTTTACCTAGAAAATATTTTGGAACAGTGAGTCAGCAAGGTAAAATACCACAAAAATGCCATAGGCTTTTTCTTTCTCCTGGTGTACTTCACTGTGCCGAGACCAGCTCTCTGCTAAGGATTCAACCTGCCCATGCCAATCTTTTCCTCTGTCCTCCATCACCACTCCACAATCAGCTGTTTTTGCAATGACTTAGCAACTCAAAAGCTACAAGAATTTTAAAACCAGGTACTGAGAAGTGCTGAGCAGTGGTGAGAGTAGCCACACTGAGAAGGCAAGGAGACTCCTTCTGTCATCTACTGACTTGCACTGGCAAAGGAAAAACTTCGTGAAAAACAACATGCTATAAAGATCAGCTTTGGTTTATCTTTGTTTAACATCATTTTGTCAGAAGAGACAGAACAAGACAAACTCAGCTTGGAATCTCTTTTCAGTTATTTTAAAACTAGCTTTCAGGGTTATTAACTGGAGTCACTGTGAGTACACTCAGTTTATATGAACATAAACTGCTTTTATTGATAGACTTTTATTTCCCCCTCCAGAAGTTTGAACATAATAACCTGTGTTTCCAAGCAAGAGATGAAGTGAAGTATTTGCTCACATTGCAGTTTTAGCAATTGCTGAAATTAGGAGAGTGCTGAGCTACAGTAAATTTTGGTGCCAACAGACCAATTCCCAGGATAAGGAATGTCCCTGAGAAATTAAACTGATTTACTGATGAACAAGAGACATTGAAAACTCTGGTAAATCGTAACAGGAAAGAAAGGCTACTAAGGGCACCTTTAAAATATATTAGTAAGGCTGGCCCTGAGATAGGATGCTAGTAGAGGTATTGCAATTTCAAGAGTTACACAGGGAAGGGTGCGTGTCCCATCCATTCAGTAGTGTGTAGCACAAACTGCAAGCGTGCCAGGAGACACAGGGACACTGCCAGGCAGTGGTTACATGAGGGAGGAAGCTTTCTGTGTTTGAGTACCAGCTCTGAGTTTCCACCACTTGATTCAGTGGGCAGCATTTTCAGTAACTCCCTCCCTACATCTATCAGCACACAGGTTTAAAATTGGGATTATGTATAATACCTTGCATCGCTAAAGCAACCTTGCTCCTATAGAAGCACACCTTTTCCCACAGAGAAACATCAAACATCCAATGAAGCAGTTTTCAAAGATCTCCTGTCCAATGCTTCCTTGACTAAAGCTGCAGACAGAATGGCACAGATCAGGTAAAAAAGCAAAAAATTACCTTTTCTGGTCCTGGAGGAGTCAGCTGTGACAAGAGGACTCTTAGTGATCCCAGCAGCAGCTCCAGCCAGTTGGCTCCCAGCAGCTCTGGCTTTCTCCCCTTGTCCCCTGACTGCCTGACATCTCCGATCTGGGGAATTTAAACCCTGTCCCAGGCACAGCCACCAATCCCCATGTGGCGGAAAAAGATGAGGTCATGAGGCTCCTGGCCACCATCCTGCCCACGTTCTCCTACACTTCCTCTTTGGCTTTGTGGCTTTTGAAGCAAACAAAAGCTACTCTATGGTTAAAACATTACTTATGGGCAAGATCATTAACTAGCAGGTCTGTTGAATGCACAGCATTTGGTATCGTGTAGGAGGACTTCAGGGCACATCTGTCCTCCTTTTGTAAAAAGGCAGAGCCCAGTTTCCCAGAAACCTTTCATGCGCTGTTCTGTAGGGGGTAGGAATACGTAATGTGTGCAGAAAGAGATATGAACATAAGCTTCCCAAAAAGGTGTTACTGCTCCCACAAAGTTGCGGATTTGCTCTCCAGGGTATACATGTTGCAATGGGAATCACAAAGACAGGGTGCAAAATATGGCCTTTTGCCTTTTTGGTCTGACCTGGGTCAAAAAAAAAAAGTCTGTGTTAATAGGCATTCTGCGTCCAGAAACTTGTTTGTAAAGGTATACAAGAGCCACTGACAGTCTAATTAAAAAGGGCTTGTGCACCATTATCAGAAATTCTCGCTCTTTTTCTATTCATTTGTGCCCTTTCTGGGTCCTTTCTAGTTTTATTCACTCTCTCAGTTAGTTCAGTTGAGTCACCTGCTGCAGCTGTCTGCTGCACCAAACCTGCTCCAGAACCCTTTTCAGGGACCAGATGCTAGATATTTTTCAAGCTAGAAAAAGGAAGAAAAGGGGAAAAAAAAAAAAAGCAGCTGTAGCTCCAGTATGGGGAAGGCCATGACTAGCATTGGGAAGCAAGGGATATCATGGGATGAAATCCCATGTGTGCTACAGAGCGGTGCATCGGCCCTGCTGATAGGCAACAGATCTATTCTGGCAGCACCTTGCTTGGACAGCCATAGCTTTGGATAGACCCTTTTCCATTTGGTGTTTCTTTAAAATGACAATGTGGTGTCATTCAAACACAGGAAAACATTCCAAACAGCCCTTTCAGAAGGCAGAATCTTTATAACTGTTTCAAAGCAGTTATCTTTCTCCTTATTTCTGATACTTAGCTAGTGTTTGATATGTCCTTAGTCAAGCAGCAGCAATAGACACCTTGTTGTCCCAGTCCATGTTACCAATTATCCTGTGCTTACTAACACTTCTGTGGCATGTTTAGAAGCACCATGAGAAATATATCCAAGTTAGCTCAGCAACTGCCCATCACATCATCACACAGACCTATGTAATTATATTTTTGAGATGAGAGCAGCAACAGCTAGAAGCAACTTAGTCTGGTTAATGAAGTAATCTAATATCCTAGGAGGAGAATTGGATAAAAAGATAGTATATAATTAATAGTTCTGCATATTCATAAACCCATGTATGCGTCCACCTGAATGAGGACTATCCTAGCTTTTATTTTTGGAACTACGTGACCATTATTATTTATTAACTCGGGAAAGACTTTTCAAGCAAAAAAGCCTTCAGTAACTAGGATTTCAGCAGCATGATCTTCTGCAGATTTAGATAGCTTATATCATCTTCCATCATATCTGCAGCTCAGTGCTTCTGGAAACTGGTTTACTGAAGCCCTTGAATGCAGATGCAGGACTTGAGCTATAAGTGGGTGCTATTTAGAAGTTTCAGCTTGAGCGGCACCTAGTAGCTGATACACTCAGATTATAATACATCACTATTACTTAGTAACTAGGACTGCTTCAAAAGGCCACTGTGGTTGACCCTGGGGAACCCCAAACCAGGCCCTTTGGTAAGCCGAGTACCTTTGATCCCAAACATGGATACAAATGAACAATGCATCTTGCAGTTCCCCTGTCTGGAAAGAAAAAACTACTTCCATCTGATGGAGAGAGAGACTGAGACAGAGAGAAACTTGGTGGCTCACACCACTGAATGTGGGACTAGGTATGCTGGGTCCTGCTCTCCTGTCCACATACACTGAATCAAATTTTAAGCCTGCAAAAACCCTCTTTTTCTACTAACTATTCATCAAGAGACACGAAACTGAAACACAACATTATACTGAAAAATCCCCTAGAGCTGTTGTCTGGCCCAAACAGGAACCTTCCAGCACCTGCAATCTGCATAATGGCATATTACTGTCTATCAGACTTTCAGGAAAATACATATTATGTCAGGACTTGTAAACAACCCGTTTCGATTCACCAAATTCAGCAGCAGTTATCAGTCATGCTGATGGAGAGGCCCGGAGCCATTAGGAGCACAGTCTTCCTGCAGTTTGCTCAAGACCTTCCTGTGCAGGTCAATTATCACTGTGGCTTTTCAAGGCAAATGTTTTGCAAGAACCTGGAACATTTGCCTCCCAGCAGAGACGGCTATGTGACCCTAAGGGAATTGTTTTTGGCAAACAGCTGGTATTGCCAGTGTGCTAGGAGATGGCAGCATTTCTGAGTACCGTGTTCAAAGCTATATGGTTGATTTTGTAAGCAGGAACAACAGTGATGTTTTGCAGTAATCCAGAACTAGGACGTGAAGTGACAGTTATTACTAAATGGCTTCATTTTATGCAAGATCAGCCAGTACAGAGCTGTAGTAAATTTAGCATGTCTCATGCTCATCATTATGTGGTTATTCATCCTGTAAATCATTTCATCTAGCTGAGAAATCCTTTGCCTTGGTAGGAGGTAGTGCTTCACGTCCTCTCAGAGATAAGGAACAAGCAGGGCAGAAAGGGGGGAACTTTCACCATTTTCACTTCCCACATTAAAATGCCTAATTCTGGAGAGAGCACTTGGCTGGCAGTGGCACAGCAGAAGCAACTTGTTCGAATTTGTACAAGTGGGAGGGTACATGATTTCAGCTTTCAGAGCTGTCAGGGTCTGTGCAGATCATGACTCTGACAAGCTGTAATTTGTTGCATGTAGGTGACGTTTTCTACTTGGCTATCCTGTCAAACAAAGCTTTTGACCACAATTTCTTCCATCTTGGGCTGCGTTAAGAACATGTGGTTAGGCTGCCGTTTCATGCTGTCGAGAAGCACTATCAGTGTCTCCCTGTGCAACCTCCGACACATACCTAAGATCCTGAGCTGAGGATCTGATCCATAGAGCTGAGACACCAGCGCTATGCCCAGCAATATTTCTGGCCAGCATGGGAAATCGCCTGTAGTGACCTGTAATGCCCAATCTTTCAGAACAGATGGCTTTTGTTTAGATTTGTTCACCAAAAAAACAAATCTGGGGGGAGACCAGAGCAGCATCTTCTAGGTGGCAAAGACTAAGAGTGGGAGAGAGTAGTTTCTTCAGAAGGATTAAGAATGCTATCAAGTAAAAGCCTCAAGAAACCCCAGCTTGGCAGTGTTCTTAGAAATGACTGTTTTGCGACTAGAATGTCCCAAAGAAAAGCAAACTTAGTAAACAGTGGTTTCTGTGAAAAACAGATGAAACCCAAAACTTCCTTGCATTACTACCATAAAATACTCCTGAAAGGTACCTTGGAAACTCAACATGTCAGCCAATATAATATATCCCCAGAAGCCCTTAAATTTTCCCGATTAAAGCTTCAAAAAAGGGGAACAGCTTACATTCAGCAGTTGGTAGGCTTCAAAAAAACCTTC